AACCACTAGACCACAACGGAGTTGGTGTTGTGCTTGCATTAAATTCCTATAACAAAACATAGTTTAAAGAACAGTAAAATTAGCAAGTGATAAAGAGAAATTTTTTTTCTGTTTCTTACCATTTGCTTATAAAAAGTTTTTGCAAGTAATTTTTTTTTCTTTCACATAACAAGTTTACAGTTTTTAAATTGTGTACTTTTTTGTGCCTTATTTAACCGTATAACATTAAAGTTACTTAAAAAAAAAAAAAAAAGGTTGTAAATAACGCGAATAAAAAAAGGGTGAAGCTGCAAAAAAGAATGTTAAAGAAATTGCAAATAGATAAGCTAAAAAAAAATTTTTTTTTTCTCAAAGTAAGCAAAAGTTTGTAACCATTAGCATACAATAATGTTTTATCATACATATAATTATTTTGATCTTTTTAGCAGAAAAAAAAAAAAAAGAAGAGAAAGAAAAGAAGAAACAAACAAATCTTTAGTCACAAAAAGGACATTTGACATTGGTTTGCAGAAACCCTACTAAATTGCAAAATAATAATTCTTTTTTTTGCTAATTTTTTACTGGAAAAAAGATTAAAAACAAATGGTTATTCAAATGATGACACGTATAAGCAAAAAAAAAAAAGGCAAAATTGATAGATTTTTTTTTGCCATAACTCTGCATCTGCTATATATACATTCAACTGTATCTATTTTCACAAATTATAACCTCATCATTTTATTTCATTTTTTTGTGAAATTGCATTAAAAATTTTCAATTTTTAACATTTCTCTTATCTATCACATCTGTTACAATTAAGGGTAGTTTTTTTTGTAGCCAAATAAAATTTTTTTAGACCAGTCTTTTTTTTTTTTTTTTGCTGTTGTTCTTATGTATTTTTCCATGTGCCAATATTGATATTATACAAAGTGTTGAAGGTTTAAAAATTTTGAGATAATTGTTCATTGAATTAACAGATGACCATTATCGACAATTCTTGTACAGTACCCCCACCTTCGTCTTTGCCAAAAGAAGAAGTAGAAAGATAGAGTGACAATTACCGAAAAGAACAGTGTGCTGTTTGAAAACAAAAAAAAGTTCAAAATTTAAAAGAAATCAAAAATTTATTTACTGATTAAAAAAGTGGCACAAAAAAAACAAATGAAACAACAGTATTTGTATGCTTTTTGGGTTTTTTATTGTAGTTTTAGCGCTTTTCTTTTTCTGTCCTTTTTTTTTGCTTTTTTTTTAAAATATTTATAACAGATAATTTGTCAATACAAATTTTTTTTTTTTTTTTTTT